AACTTTCAGTTCAATCGGTCCAGCAGAACTTGACTTTAAGTTTGAAATAGGTTTTCAAAATGGCGGCCGTGGCGGCCATATTGGATTTCTGATCGACCCGAAAAATAACAACACTTTGTCAGGACCATGAGGCGATCATTCCTACCAACTTTCAGTTCAATCGGTCCAGCAGAACTTGACTTTAAGTTTGAAATAGGTTTTCAAAATGGCGGCCGTGGCGGCCATATTGGATTTCTGATCGACCCGAAAAATAACAACACTTTGTCAGGACCATGAGGCGATCATTCCTATCAACTTTCAGTTCAATCGGCCCAGCAGAACTTGACTTTAAGTTTGAAATGTAAAATGTTAACGGACGACGGACGACGGACGACGGACGACGTACGACGTACGACGGACGACGGACGACGACGGACGAAAACGGATAGCAATAGGTCACTTGAGCTAAAGCTCAGGTGACCTAAAAATGCACAACTACAGACCAATTAGGGAACCTCCATATAAAATTTGAGAAAGACCCCTCCTGTACTTTCTGAGAAATAGCGATAACAAAAATTGTTGAAGGACGAACGACGGACGACAATTGTAATTTAGTTTCATATCAAGTAATTTGACATAAACTCCTTATAATGTCATGTTTACCAACAATAATCTAATATATGCCACATCTAAAAGTTATCTGTAAGGGCTTAAATGGAATGTTATTTTTAAGTTGGACATGACAGTCCAATTATCTGTTAAAGCATTTCTTCTGACCATGCTTTGATTCATGCTAAATGTTATGACAAGGGATTACCGTTACTTAGATATTCCAAAATTTTCGTTTTTAATACGGTAGTAAAGATATAAATACTTTATTTTGATACAAAAACGGTATCTCTTTTTACATCACATACCCCTTTAAAACATGTTTTCCTCTGAAAAATGACTCGTGACATTAAGAGAAATGTACTGTCCTTTATGAAATGACATCAATTTGAGTTTAAAGTTAACACTATTTTAAATAATTCAAGATACACCATCCTAATTTTGAATTTATTAAAATAATTTATAAATAAAAAAATTGTAATTCAATATAGTCACGACACCAAATATGTTTCATCAACAGAATGGCTTAAACATCAAGGCAGCTACATTGCTCTTCGAACTGAAGATACTTTCACCTGATGCTTTAGAGTTTTAAAATTATCCATTGACAAAATATCTATAATTTAGAATCAGTCTCTGGAGAGAGACTTATTCTCTATATCTTATACGTAATTGTAGGCGGTCTGGATAGTATATACATTACATTCATTTTTGTCCAGTCATCCAGTACAGTTTTATCCTTCTTGTCTGTAGAGCCGAGATATTTCTCCCGGAAATTGTCTCCAATGTCCCTCAGATGTTTGGCAAATACCATACTTCTCCTGCCCTGTGAAACATTATACAAATACATCATGATAGATAGTCATACGCCATTATGAGTTATCAGAATAATTCAGGATTACTGCACAGTTAATATAATGTTACTATAATTATTTGATTTTTACAATTATGGAATATAATTTTAAATAACTGATAAAGTTTGTAATGAATCATCCTCGGTTTCAAAGGGGGGAAAACACACTCAAAACGTGTGATTTCCTTCTGAGACCGAGGATGGAAATGAATATATACCTGTATATATGTTTATTTATTATTTACACTTAAAAATCTTTCCCTATTGAAATAAATTTCACGCTGTTATTTATTTTTAACGAAACTTTCAGCTTCGCCTACACGTTAGTAACATTATTAGGATCGACTCTCGGGAGAAATAATAGAATAATAACTTTCATAGCCAAATGGCTGAATTTCCTTGTAGTTTTAAATCTGGTGAAATCATTTTTACATGATTTATAATCATATAAATATACCCATCAATTAAGAAATTGGACTTCCTCAAGGGATTGATGAATTGACTCTCAAGGCAAGACTTGACAATTAAGACAGGTGCTATATCATCAGGCTGTGGTTTGGTGTTGTTTATGAATTCAATTTAATTTTTTATAATTCAATTGAATTTTTAATAATTCAAAGTAATATCCTCAATAAGATTCATCAGTTTGGAAATATTTGACATCAAAGTTTTACTTTCTACATCGACTGGTCCCTTCGCCAAGCTATGACTCTACATAGAAACATTTAATACGAATATTGTTTGTGAAGAAAGTAAAACTTTGATGTCAATTCAAAGATGTGTTATCATGAAAAAATAAGAAATGAGTACATCATTCAATTGATAGATTTCATGTATCAGTATCAATACATATCAATGAACCAAAAACGTGTCATGTTATAATTAGATATTAAAAAACAAGCTTGAAATTAGTGGCACATTTTGTAGTTATACGTATACATTTAACAGTAAATTCAATATCAGACGGAGTATACTGGGTAATGACAAACTATACAATGTAGCTAGCAGACATCAGGTACATCACGAGCAGCAGCAACACATGCTGGGTAAAATGATGAAAGCATACACAATACATCTCCAGGACACATGCAGGCATATACACAGGGAGATATTAGCCAGGTGGCATAGGACTAGAAGTTAGTGCCTGATCATGATAAGGCAGCTCCTGCGAATTCCTCAAAATTGTATTGATTAATGTATATGCCAATTGTATTGATTGTATAAATTGTATATCTATATACTGTAAAGCACTTTAGAGTGGCTAATTCTAGCTATATAGGGCCAAATATCAAATGTTGTATATTATTATTATTAGTATTATTATGGTATGTTCGTCATGCTTACAATGCAGAAGAGGCCAGAAGCCTAGCACTAATGTTAAGTGTTAACAGTTAATGTCACATTCTGTGAATGAATAATAATTCTAGGGTGTAAAACATATCAGTATTAAGTATGAAGCACACAGAAACACTTTGAATTTAACACAATTCCATAATTAATCATGATAAAAAGAATTACATGTGTATTTCATTCATTGGGTCAGGGACTTGAGTAAGTCTAGGTGTCACAGTATAGAGATTATGGTCCATAGACTTACACAAGTCCCACTTATCCCAAGTTCTGAAATTCAGATTTAATTCAGATTTGAACATAGAAAAAAATGCTTTTAAAGAACTTCTCATCAAAGTTATGAAGCCAACAATATATGTTTAGTCACTTAAAGATATGTGATACTTGATCATAAATTCCTGTGAAACCACAATTCTTCATCGTACATGATTAATTTTGGAATTGCGACAGAAGATGTGTGCAACACTTACACTCCAGTAAAGGGGAGACCACTCACTGTACTGGCCATGGATGAGTGACTCAGCCCTGTCCAGGAATACAGACCTGTAGAGGGGAAAGGTTAGTATGACAGGTGTGTACAAAGAACCACTCTGATTACAGGTGTGACCACTACCTTAATTACAAGTATGACTACTACCTTAATTACAGGTATGACTACTACCGTAATTGCAGTTGTGACCATTACCTTAATTACAGGTGTTACCACTACCTCAATTACAGGTGTGACCACTACCTTTATTTCAGGTGTAACCACTACCTACATGTATATACTACAGGGAGCACAATACCACAAATGTGACTATTTAGATACATGTACTACAGGTGTGACCACCATCTCAATTACAGGTGTGATCACTACCTTAATTACAGGTGTGACCACTACCTTACACTACAGGTATCACCACTTCCCCAATTGCAGGTGTGCAGACTAGGCCTACTATGTAACGTTTACAGATGTGACCATTATACCTTGTACTCCATGTTTCAATTATATGCAATACAACAGGTGTGACCATTACTCCCAATACCACAGGTGTGACTACTAGTATCACCTAATACTGAAGGTAGGACTAATTGTTATTAGTAACACAACAGGTGTGACCATTACTCCCAATACCACACTCAGGTATCACTACTCGTATCACCTAATACTGAAGGTAGGACTAATTTTTAATAGTAATACAACAGGTGTGTCCTCAACCTTTATAAAAATGGTACCACTTCCCCATAATTTTAAAGGTGAGACAATACCTTATGCTACAAGTGTGAACTATCTTCCTAATATTACAGGCGTGAAAAGTACCTAATATATACTAAAGGTGTGAGCTACATGTATCCACCTAATACTACAGGTGTGACCTACATGTATCCACCTTATACTACAGGTGTGACCTACATGTATCCACCTAATACTACAGGTGTGGCCTACATGTATCCACCTAATACTACAGGTGTGACCTACATGTATCCACCTAATACTACAGGTGTGACCTACATGTATCCACCTAATACTACAGGTGTGACCTACATGTATCCACCTAATACTACAGGTGTGACCTACATGTATCCACCTAATACTACAGGTGTGACCTACATGTATCCACCTAATACTACAGGTGTGACCTACATGTATCCACCTAATACTACAGGTGTGACCTACATGTATCCACCTAATACTACAGGTGTGACCTACATGTATCCACCTAATACTACAGGTGTGACCTACATGTATCCACCTAATACTACAGGTGTGACCTACATGTATCCACCTAATACTACAGGTGTGACCTACATGTATCCACCTAATACTACAGGTGTGACCTACATGTATCCACCTAATACTACAGGTGTGACCTACATGTATCCACCTAATACTACAGGTGTGACCTACATGTATCCACCTAATACTACAGGTGTGACCTACATGTATCCACCTAATACTACAGGTGTGACCTACATGTATCCACCTAATACTACAGGTGTGACCTACATGTATCCACCTAATACTACAGGTGTGACCTACATGTATCCACCTAATACTACAGGTGTGACCTACATGTATCCACCTAATACTACAGGTGTGACCTACATGTATCCACCTAATACTACAGGTGTGACCTACATGTATCCACCTAATACTACAGGTGTGACCTACATGTATCCACCTAATACTACAGGTGTGACCTACATGTATCCACCTAATACTACAGGTGTGACCTACATGTATCCACCTAATACTACAGGTGTGACCTACATGTATCCACCTAATACTACAGGTGTGACCTACATGTATCCACCTAATACTACAGGTGTGACCTACATGTATCCACCTAATACTACAGGTGTGACCTACATGTATCCACCTAATACTACAGGTGTGACCTACATGTATCCACCTAATACTACAGGTGTGACCTACATGTATCCACCTAATACTACAGGTGTGACCTACATGTATCCACCTAATACTACAGGTGTGACCTACATGTATCCACCTAATACTACAGGTGTGACCTACATGTATCCACCTAATACTACAGGTGTGACCTACATGTATCCACCTAATACTACAGGTGTGACCTACATGTATCCACCTAATACTACAGGTGTGACCTACATGTATCCACCTAATACTACAGGTGTGACCTACATGTATCCACCTAATACTACAGGTGTGACCTACATGTATCCACCTAATACTACAGGTGTGACCTACATGTATCCACCTAATACTACAGGTGTGACCTACATGTATCCACCTAATACTACAGGTGTGACCTACATGTATCCACCTAATACTACAGGTGTGACCTACATGTATCCACCTAATACTACAGGTGTGACCTACATGTATCCACCTAATACTACAGGTGTGACCTACATGTATCCACCTAATACTACAGGTGTGACCTACATGTATCCACCTAATACTACAGGTGTGACCTACATGTATCCACCTAATACTACAGGTGTGACCTACATGTATCCACCTAATACTACAGGTGTGACCTACATGTATCCACCTAATACTACAGGTGTGACCTACATGTATCCACCTAATACTACAGGTGTGACCTACATGTATCCACCTAAAACTACCCTAACTACAGGACCTCCACCCTTACTACAGGTGTGACATCTATCCTAACTACAGGTGTGACCTCCACCCTAACTACAGGTGTGACCTCCACCCTAACTACAGGTGTGACCTCTACCCTAACTACAGGTTTGACCTCCACCCTAACTACAGTTGTGACATCCACCCTAACTACAGGTGTGACCTCCACCCTAACTACAGGTGTGATCTCCTCCCTAACTGCAGGCTATGACAATCATGTACAGCTAATACTACAGGTGTGACCTACATGTATCCACCTAAAACTACCCTAACTACAGGACCTCCACCCTTACTACAGGTGTGACATCTATCCTAACTACAGGTGTGACCTCCACCCTAACTACAGGTGTGACCTCCACCCTAACTACAGGTGTGATCTCCACCCTAACTGCAGGCTATGACAATCATGTACAGTCAAGCCTCATTGAAACATTGAGTTAAATCAAACCTATACATACTTTTCATTACACAATTTTTATTTTATAATAACACATGCACAGTTGTCTGACAATCCAGCTACTATCGCTGGTAATGAAGGTGGCTGAATTAACGAAGCTTCACTGTAAATAGTTAATCAAGGGAGATAAAAAGCAGGGGAAAAAGGTGGAAAGATAGAAAAGATGTGAAAATGTATGTCAAATGAAATTCACCATGCTTTTGTTGCTTTCTAACTCATGTACACCCAAGCAGGCAAGCTATTGCATAATGAGGTGATTCATCGTGAATGGGGAATAAAACGAATTTAGAAAAATACATAATCAGAAGAAATCTAACGTGTTACCCTTCAGCATGCAGGCTATTGTAAGAAGCTAAAACATATTGACTGATGTGACTTTTGCATTTGTTTTTACTCTCAACATGCAGCTAACTACAGGAGGCAAAAAAAAGTTTAAAACCTAACAGTTTTGCATTGCATTGGTTATACACAAAATTGAAGAATGTTTACTACTACTTTATAACTTGATATCTATTCATTGAAAGAAATACCAGGGTAAACCTATCTTCGCATAAAATCGTGAAAATTAAATAAAGCTTTTACTCAGATTATGTCAATTTTTTTTTCTATCATACTTTTATTAATTCAACTAGCTTTTACTTATTTGTAGCATATATTCATGATTAATCTATATTATCTCAAGGTCAAACAATTTTGTAGTCGGATGAATCTAAAGGAATATTTTTCGTCAATAATAAGCCAATGTCAGTTACTGTCAGGTTTAATTGTGCATTTATTATCATCTGCAGTTATTTCATAATTTTCTTTGAAGCAGAGAGATTGCTATACAATACATTTTTGTCTTTTGATGGCATCTTTTGAAGATGGTATAATTAATGTTCTTTAGACATAGCATTAAATACAAAATATAGGTAACCTGGTTTGATCAAAAATATTTTAACTGTAAAAAAAACCCCAAAAAAACCCTGAATACCTCAGACATGTTGGCCTAAAAGGATTGAATTAAAAAATAACTATCTGGCAAAATAAAATTTACGGAACAGTTGTTTTTGTCCAGCAAAAATTCTACTTTGAATATGTGTGATTCTGTGCATTTTTGCTTTGGCTATCATGCTACAGATGTTACAGTGTGCAGGCAGATAGAGAGCTGACCAACCACCAAACTTACTTCCCAGCTACGCGTTTGGCCAAAGTGGTCATGTAAAAGTGTCTCGGCTCTATCCACCATCACTGACCTACAAAGTATTGGTCAGTGTTAACATTGTGTGGTCAGTACGCTCAGTGTCACAAGTCAGGATGGGTTTGGTAGGCAGATGATTAATCATTAGGTATAACGGACAAGGTGTTGGGTCAGTCGGACCAGAATTATGTAGTTGTAAGGTCAAGAATTTGTCCTTGGTCTGATTAGATGATCAGATGAGGTCAAGGGTTTGTACCTAAATGACCAGGGGAAGTTAAGGTGAAATCACTAGATGTTCTTGCTGGGTCAATGATCATTTCACTCAATGATTATGTGAGGTCAAAGGACACTTATAATGTGACCTCATTGGTTTGTCACTTGATGGTTAGGTGGGATCAAGCCAAGGGTCAGTCAAAAAATGATTAAGTGTGGTCATTAGATATTTTTCATACTAAATTAAAAGGAAACCATTGGGTGACAATTTGTGGTGCACAATTGTATGTAAGTATGAAACTTAGTGGTAAATTTCTGTATACAATGTTGACACCTGGTGGTAACTACTGTATACAAGGGTGACACCTGGTGGGAACCTCCTGTATACAAGGGTGCCACCTGGTGGTAAACTACTGTATACAAGGGTGACAACTGGTGGTAACCTCCTGTATACAAGGGCGACACCTGGTGGTAAACTATTCTATACAAGGGTGACATCTGCCGTTAAACTATTGTATACAAGGGTGAAACCTAGTGGTAAATTATTGAATACAAGGGTGACATCTGCCGCCAAACTATTGTATACAAGGGTGGCATCTGCCGGTAAACTATTGTATACATGGGTGACACCTGGTGGTAAACTCTTGTTTACAAGGGTGACACCTGGTGGCAACCTACTGTATACAAGGGTGACACCTGGTGGTAAACTATTGTATACAAGGGTGACATCTGCCGGTAAACTATTGTATACAAGGGTGACATTTGGTGGTAAACTATTGTATACAAGGGTGACACCTGGTGGTAAACTACTGTATACAAGGGTGACACCTGGTGGTAAACTATTGTATACAAGGGTGACACCTAGTGGTAAACTATTGTATACAAGGGTGACATCTGGTTGTAAACTATTGTATACAAGGGTGACATCTGGTGGTAACTACTATATACAATGGTGACACCTGGGGGTAAGCTACAGTATACAATGGTGACACCTGGTGGTAAACTACTGTATACAAGGGTGACACCTGGTGGTAACTACTATATACAATGGTGACACCTGGTGGTAAGTTGCAGTATACAATATTGACACCTGGTGGTAACTACTGTATACAAGGGTGACATCTGGTGGTAACTATTGTATACAATGGTGACACCTGGTGGTAACCTACTGTATACAATGGTGACACCTGGTGGTAACTACTGTATACAAGGGTGATATTTGGTGGCAAACTACTGTATACAAGGGTGACACCTGGTGGTAACTACTATATACAATGGTGACACCTGGTGGTAAGCTACAGTATACAATGGTGACACCTGGTGGTAACTACTGTATACAAGGGTGACACCTGGTGGTAAGCTACAGTATACAATGGTGACGTCTGGTGGTAAGCTACAGGATACAATGGTGACACCTGGTGGTAACCTACTGTATACAAGGGTGACACCTGGTGGTAAACTATTGTATACAAGGATGACACCTTTAGATAACTACTGCATACAATGGTGACGCCTGGTGGTAAGCTACAGGATACAAGGGTGATACCTGGTGGTAACCTACTGCATACAATGGTGACACCTGGTGGTAAACTATTGTATACAAGGATGACACCTTTAGATAACTACTGCATACAATGGTGACGCCTGGTGATAAGCTACAGGATACAAGGGTGACACCTGGTGGTAACTACTGTATACAAGGGTGACACCTGGTGGTAAACTACTGCATACAATGGTGACACCTGGTGGTAACTACTGTATGCAAGGGTGACACCTGGTGGTAAACTACTGCATACAATGGTGACACTTGGTGGTAACTACTGTATACAAGGGTGACACCTGGTGGTAAACTACTGCATACAATGGTGACACCTGGCGATTAATTACTATATTTTATATACCAGGCTGACACTTGGTAGTAAACTACTGGTTAAATATCCTTAAACATTTTCTTCAGGTTGGTAAGTATGGATTATGAGAAGTCGTACATCTCGTACACATTTTACACATTTGTGTGCATACGCTTCACTGGTCATTTGTCTGATGAAGGTGACAGTGTACATATCGTACTAGTCATCGAGACGTCACATAGAAAATGTTATTGGTTGTATAAAAATAAAAAAGGACTTCTCATAATACTGGATAAATAGATGACACCTGGTGGTAAAATACTATAGACACGGGTGGTGAAATGTGATGTACATGGAGGACACCAAGGTTGCAGATATTCATCATGTTAAAATCTCATAAACTAAGACTACATATATATCTAATTTCCATTGTCTACTTTAAATTTTGGATACAAGAGCAATAAAATAACTGGTTAAATTATTTCCATACATTGGCTTACTGGTATTCTATTGAAAAAGTGATTATGAAACTTACCTGGCTGATGAATTGTGCATAAGAAAAGGTTTGATAAAGCCTGCATGTCCCATGTATGACATGCATTCAAACTTGTTGGCGTAGACGTCATCTCCGTACCCGAAGAACCAGTGATGCCAGCGACTGTCTTTACCCTGACAAGGAGATTTTTGAAGTGTTAGCTGACGAGGCTTCAATCAAATGAATCATCTAGGCCATTTGGCATAAATCCATACTCAGTCTATGTACTAGGTGTTTGTAATTTATTACATGGTAAGTCCAAGTCATTATATGTAAACAGAATTATATTCTATAATATGTTAAAAGAAATATATTTTATAATATGTAAACAGAATTGTATTTTACAATGTGTAAACAGAATTATATTTTCAAACAGTTTTTAGCAAGAACAATGAAACCTGATTCAAATTTGACTTTTCCTAATTTTACTTCTTAGGTTGTTAACATTTATTTGCCCTTTAAAGAGACAGTATTAACTAATTTGCTAAAAAGAATCAACATGAATCAGTCCAAACCAATCAAAGAATAAGAAATGTGAAAATTAACCAAAATGTCAGTGTTGTTTTCAAGGATATTGTCAGAAATTTTCTCTAGTCTGATTTTGGAAAAATCTTGATGTAAAACCATATTTTTGAGGTAAAATTTTACCATTTTAGGTTTTGAAAAATACTTTTGAACAGGAAAAACTCAAACTTTCTGAACTAGATAAATTTTCAATTAAAAATAAACCTATTTTTGGAATGAATTTAAAACCAAAAACATTAATGATTGGAATTTTTTTTTTGGGGGGGGGGGGAATGCTTATTTTTCAAGAAAGTAGATAATTACTTATAATTAACATGTGGTACTGACCTTGGAATAGCCATGTTTGTCCAGACACTCACGAATGTCCATCTTCTCTTCCCATTTGGTCCAGCCCTCCTTGTATCTTTGTAGGTAGTAAACCTCCTCTATCATAGGCTTTTCACTCACTGTCAACACACAATTAAGTCTAGGTCAATAAACAGGTAAATCTGGGTCAATTCAATTCAATTTATTACCAAATGCATATTGCATATAGGCGTACAGAAATATACATATAGATAAACAGGTAAATCTGGGTTGATGACACACAGAAAAGTCTAGACCAACACAAAGGTAAGTGTAGGTAATCACAAAGGTAAACTCTGGGTCAACACACAGGTAATATAAGTCTAGGTCAACACACAGGTAAGTCTAGGTCATCACACAGGTAATTTAAGGTTGACACAAAGATAAATGTGGGTTAACACACAGGTAAGTTTAAAATTTAGGTCTACACATAAATAGGTCTTTGTCAACAAAAAGCTAATAACAACACAGATAATATTTTAGATTAACACACAGGAAAGTACAAATTGACAAAAAGGAGAGTGTATGCCAACATTATGGTATTAAAATCCTTTGTGGAAATACAGCCTGGATTAACAGATCTTTTCTTTGTGCAATGTACAGATATGGTAGAAATTTATTCATCAGTTTTCTGCATTGAATATCACTATTTGTATATGTAAATACATATATAGACAAATTTGTTTGTGAAATCATAATCAAATTGCTAATTTAAATTATCATATCCACTCCAGAAGGTAAACCACTCCATAGTCTGGACCATTTATATCTCAGCTCAGTGCAACTATTGAAACTACGAAGAAGTATATATATATACGTCGTGCCTGGGGGGAAATTTCACAGAAAAGTCCTACCATGAATGGGGAAATCCTACCGGGAATGGGGAATTTTCCTCGCAAAAAGGGTAATTTCTACCCCCTTTGCAAGGAAAATTCCCTAAAACTATTCCCTAGTGATACATATCAAGCTTTCCTGAAGCTATAGACTAAATGCAATGTGTACCTGCTAAAAACTCCTCAAACTCCAGGACAGGTATGTGTCTCCTTAGGCTTTCAAGGTCGAAGAAGAGGGACCAAGGAAGCTTTATCTGACTTATCTCCCTTGTCTGCCAGTGGTAGATCCTGCCCCAGGGTGGCAACACCAGTGCCCATGGTTCATCATCGTTTAGAAGTTTGACAAGATTTGCCACACGTATGTAGACATCCCTCCTCAGGTTAAATCCCTCACCGGGATTCACATTGTACAACAGGTATCTATAGCATGAAAAAAAAAACTGTGTAAAATTCAACAAAATTTATATTTATTGTTATTCTGTATCATGCATGAACAGCACTATGAACAATTATGAATTTCTTATCAGCTTTCCTATCAAGTTGACAGAATTCCACATCCTGTTCCATTAGCTGCATATATATCAGAAAGTTGTATTCTTTTCAATATTTAACTCTATTATCTCACTGCATCCTTCCATATATGTGACACGGTCATGGTGCATGCATGCCCAGTTAATTCCATATGAAACATAACAGTATACATTATGGCACAATAACATGGTTGAAGGCGAAGTATGTATTAAACTATTATATTTAATTTAATAGTTGTTACTGAAATAATTTATAAACCTTAACTACATGTACAAAATTATCGTGAATAATGATGGAACAATTTTTTCAACAGTAACTTATATCAATCACTCATGAGTATGGGCAATGACACCTCTAGTCAAAATGATTCTACCCCTGCCCTGATCATAGGGGTTCGTTATAAATTAATGGCTAACACACATATATAAATATATATGCTATACTGATATGCATCACAGCACATCTGAACATGGCGTATGCTTAGGTGTGCTGTGAACCATATCAGTATAGCATGTATGTATTAGACATTTGTAACAAACCCCTGTGCTTCACAACACATGTCATTCATTATTAAATACACATGTATGGAAACACAAGGGTATCTGCTTTGAAAAAGAGTATTGCATCATTCACCTCTTTATCAAGGCAGACCATGTAATACAATGTGCAGTACCATACCCATGGCATTATCACAGAAAGCAAACGATTGGCTGTGTAATACATAAACAGGAATTACTTCTATAATAATAATAATAATGATAAGAGGTTTTTATATACCGCTTTATCACAAGTCAACCTAGTTCGTAGATCATCTCAAAGCAAGCGGTTCACAAATTATTATTCGTGGTTATATAGGGCCTTTGCAACCAGCCAACAGGAGTATACAGGCGGTGCTCCCATTTCGGCGCTCACAGAGCTCTAGCATTGTACAATTCTAGCACTGCCACGTATTCATTTACAGCGAAGTAGACTGGAACACATGGAGTAAAGTATCTTGCTCAAAGATACAACACAGTGGCGTGCAGCAAACCCGCCACCAACCCTTCAATCACGAGTCCGGCGTCCTACCACTATTCTACCGTGCCTCCTATATTTATATTTGCCTGTTCCCATTTTTTAGCATAACTAAGATTCCATTAAAACGGTATAAAGACACCCCAGCCGTATGATTTGTTTCTGTGGCGAGGTACATTGTATTAGGGAAGAACCCCTGTGATAATATCAGCGTTGGCATCAATTACAGCTGACGTGTAAGAACAGTTACTTCTAGCAGTCTAGTGCTCCTGTTTACCTGACAGGTTTTGATGCCTGAAAATCGGGTGTATCATTTATACCGACATTAAATGCATCGTCCTCCTTCTTTTTGCATTCAGTAAGTCTTAGATCTAGACACGCAAACACACAGAGAACTTCGAGTACTGTCCTGATATTCATCTTTCGTTTCATGCGTCCATGCCAATGTCAACTTCCGGTTAGGGAGTAAGTAAAAAACGAGAACGGAAACGGAACGGCTAGATGACGGATGCGCATGTTCTTGAAAACTGATGATATCATTTTCGTAATGGAATCTTATAATTACGTTTATTTGATATTCAACCTATTTCAATAGCATGATTCCAGCAGGAGAACTTTTCCAAATTTCCTGGGGAGGTTTACAGGTGGGGCAAAATTGAGGAAAATGGTGAAAATACATGATTTTTAAAGAAACTTCTTAGGCTTGGGGTGTTTCCTGAAGCCCAACCCCCCCCCACCCCCTCCCCCTGGATCCGCCACTGTTAATTAATATCTATTCATCTTTTATACCTTAAAAAACTGGCATTTCTCTGTTTACATGTAATAATATGCAAACTGGAAACGCTTAAAATCAACATTTTACACTATTTACAAGGCGATCTTAAAATTAAAGTCCACGTGTTGTACCACGGAATATTAGATAACGTCTAATTTAATTCCGTGGTTGTACACAACAATACATTCCATTTCATTATAAACATACTAAAATATACACAGACTTAAATGTAACATAATGTTCTGCTTCATAAAACTCTTAGACCGAATTAAAGAACTGACTAGTATCGTATTTGTATTGATATATTTTATTTATTTAATTTATTTAATCATCAACTTATTTATAACTTATTTATCTATTTATGACTCTTGACAAGAATCTTCTGATCTAAAAGGAGTGATTTAATAATGTATTTACCTTAAAAATATACAGATGTATCGATTTCTGCCCCTTTAAATCCATCTCTATGTAAAGGTTTATTTGTTTCTGTACTTTTGGTAAGAGTTACTTCCCTTCTACCATTACCTTTTGGTTTAGGTATTTAAAAAAAAAAAAAAAACTACACTTTTTCTACTTCCCTGACCTTATTAATGTTCACATCTGTACGGTGGTTGATTTGTGCCATTTTGTTGTTTCGTCTTTTTCGCGGAATGACGACACAACGAGAATTAAGGTGCCTTAATTGTCGTCCTTTCGGGGCGAAAGGACGAAACAACGAAATGGCACAAATCAGCCACGTACATCTAGGTGTTATAAAAGCATAGTATGGAAATGACTGTCAAATATTTGGGCGACAAACCTGTGAAATATTCAGAAAAACAACATTTTTGGTCGCGCTATCTTCTATATAAAAAGGAACATTTCCAAGCTGAAAAAACCTCTAGAGTGAAAGTTAGCCATGATCGCTAACGCGCAGTCATTTGTGCTGTCAAGCGGGAGCTTTCAGACCACTCGCTCTACCGAGAATTTCGGTTCGATCCCCAGCGGTGGCGGAAAAAACGAGAGTGATGTCTGATAGGGTTAGTTGTTATCCCTCCGATGGCACGTAATACAAGCTCTACAGAGCTTATGTTTGTTGTTGACAATTGTACACGACACTAAATAAAGATTATTATTATTATTATTATTATAACTAATGCATCGGTGACATACATTTTAAGCGAGAGGAGAAAATAACCAAGTCCGTTACATGTAAGCATCTCTACCAGCATCTGTGTTAACAACTTTTTAAACGATAGAAAAAACATCTGCAGGACTGTAAGGTTTTGGTTTGGTTTGGTTGTGTTTTACTACGTCCATTAACAGCTATGATCATTTAAGGACGTGCCAGGGTTTGGTTGTGGAGGAAAGCCGGAATTCCCTGAAAAAAAACACCGGCCTACGGCCAGTACTTTGCGATTGCCCCATGCACGTACAAAAAAAAGGGCATCGAACTCGCGACCCAGTGGTGGATGGCTTGTGGTAGACGAATGTCAGAATCCTTAACCGCTTGGCCACCGTGGCCTACTCAACTGTAAGGTATCTACTCAACGGCGTGAACTCATAGCTCTCTTTATCAGGTGAATGACGAATCTATACCCTAGTAGATTTTTTATGTAATGAATATTTTTTTATTTTATTTTGGTTCACAAAAAGCCAGTACAACATATTACATGATCATATATATCATTGCAATTATGATTGCTAAACAATACATTGTCTTTCTATCTTTACTTATTTTGTTGTTTCAGGTAATTACACAAATTTGCAAATGTGTATTTTTTCAATGTCATCCATGTGTACAAAAATTGAATATAAGTCCGTTTGAACTAACTACAGGCCTATATCCCTACTATCTATAGTCGGTAAATTAATAGAAAAGTGCGTCTATAAGTATATCTATAAAATTCCTACATGACCACTTCCTTTTATCCTCTAACCAGTCATGATTTCGACATGGCGATCCACTCAGCTTCTTGCGATCATCCATGATGTATACTCTGCCCGTAGATAACGGTAAAGTGATATAAGCAAAGCTTTCGACTGTGTTTGGCATAAAGGTCTTCTTCGTAAACTATCTTGTTTTAGCATTCGGGGTTCACTACTAATTTGGTTTGAAAATTATCTTTGTAATCGCAAACAGCGAGTTGTTTTTAATGGTAAAAGTTCAAATTGGTCTAACGTTAAAGCTGGGCTTCTTCAAGGTTCCATATTGGGCCCTCTTTTGTTTCTTATTTTTATTAATGATTTTGTAGAAGACATTAATGCTACCACTTGGTTATTTGCAGATGACACTTCCTTGTACACCATCATCGATTCTCCAAGAATTAGTGCCGGCATTCCAAATACTGACGTCAATGAAATCCATGAATGGTCCAAGAGATGGTTGGTAAATTTGAATCCTGCTAAAACAGAAACCGTACTTATAAGTAGGAAAACTAGTACCCCTCTTATTCTCCTCTTATCACGAATAAAATAGTCGTTACTGAAGTTACAACACATAAACATCTTGGTTTATTTCTGTCTGGAAATGGTTGTTGGATCGAACACATTAACTATTTAAAATCATATTTATGTGTGTCTTTTTCAAAAGACCACAATATAAGTTAGTGGCAACAGACGTCTCTAAAGTCAGCATGGCAAGTCCACATGAGTGTTTTACTTAATCAAACGTACATTCTGCAAGACCTCCCCGCCATCTAGCCTCTTTCTAGAACGAAGAATAAGATGAAGTCCTGTCCCAACATTTTCTGTAAGTTAATATCGCTAAAGGCCCCCAAAACTCTTAGTGTGCTTTCGTCAAGACTGCCGCGAATTGGGGCCTGTGGTACAAAAAATACGCTCAATTTTCTCAAAGGTACATTTGTATACGATTATATTGTCACAGACTACTATAAGTTAATACATATGCGTTAATTTTTCCAAGTTCTAACAAGCTAAACATACATGTTTTAAATATCTTCCGATAAAATGATTTATTCGGGTCGACAGCCCATCTAAGTTAGACGATTTGAGTAAGAACCACTTTATAACCTTTAGCAAGGACCTACCAATAAAACAGAATTATCTAGACCTTGAGTGAAAAATGAATAATACGCTTTTTGAGCTGTTTTACGGAACAAGTCATAAAACATGAAGATACGAAATGCTGTGCCATCATCACCGCTCATCACCATGACGTGATGGGGTTGCTTTTGACTCGGAACCTTGAACAGACCTGTAAGTACGCACGGGTGATCTCGCTTAACTATCATTACATTGCTTCGTTGATAAATGTCAGATAATCTAGATGAATTTTTGTCATTTAAGTGTCCCTGGGAAAACAAAGTAATTCACGGATATTTATTAGAATGGGATACCGACTAACGCCATAAAATTCATCAAAGGTCAAATGTCGTCAGATGGAACCACAAGGGAGAACTGATAACCAAAGTTCGCGTCTAAAAACATTCGTCAAAAATATGTATTCCAGACCCTAATAGAGGAAAAACGCCAAGGAAAAGGTTACGTCGGGAAAAAAAGTTCCCTACAGTGTTTGAACTATGTGTACCAAAAGATAAAGGAACTGAAACGTCTGTGAAGTGAATGGAATTTTATATGTACAAATCCTGTTGATACAGCAGGGATATGGAATATAACGAAAGTTAGAATAGTACAACAAGCTACATAAACTAGAAAATTAACAATGTTACATTTCATTTTGCCTGTTGTGCAAAATTGCGAAATACATGGTTTATATATATACGTCATTTATACGTATACACGATATTTTAAGATGAGTTTTCTCAGATAATAACGGATATCGGAGTCAAATCGATTTATTTTTAGTTTGGTTTGATTTATAATTTCTTTTGTTTTGCTTTTTATAATCATAACATAGTATATTTGTCCCAACTTACTGTACCGTTACTTATACTGATTTTGTCCGTCTTGTTTGATATTTTACGCCGTATTCGGGGTGAGATTCTTCAGTTTGGTATGATAATAAATGCTATGTTTGTTTGTAAGACAAACAGTAATTGAAAACTTATTTTGTGAACTTTCGAAAACGTCTGTTTCCTTTGTCAAAGCAAAGAGCGCAAATTACCGGTGTCTCGACTCCAAGTCGCTGAAAGCACTCATTAAGCCACAATGTGTCGAGTCAGTAAAGTCAGCTATAAGAAAATAACGAGACAGTTATGTAACTGTATCTTGTTTTTCAAATGCAATCCAAACTTATCATATTCTGTACTGTAACAATCACACAGGAATGGTTAAAACATAACAATATTATTTATGTTTATGACGTCACACTGCGGAAGCATGTCCTTAAAATCGAAAATTGAGTAATGCGGTTGTCGCGCGGAAAGCATGTTGCCGTCCTGTTGCATATGCATTTGTTGATATTGTGGAAATATTTTGAACGTTGATGTCACAAAGGAACTAAGATAAGAGATGATATTGCTGGTCGATTTTTTTGTGAATGCTGGAAAGACGGACTTTTCTCTGGTCGTGTTACTTGCGCCGACTATCACTGATGATAGCGACATTTTTATTAAGGAGAGGGAAACACACTAGCCGGACAGTGGGCTAATGGCAGGTTGCTTCTGTACAAACGGCACTGCCATGCGGCATGATCGAAGGGAAGATTAATGTGGGTAATTTAAAAAAAATCATTTATTTCCGCCTAAAAGTTTCAGAGGATGGTAATTTGAATAT